GGAAGGAAGGAAGGAAGGAAGGAAGGAAGGAAGGAAGGAAGGAAGGAAGGAAGGAAGGAAGGAAGGAAGGAAGGAAGGAAGGAAGGAAGGAAGGATAGATAAAGGTATGGATGAATGGGTGGGCAGATGGACACAGGAATGTCCATCACTGCTGCCTTGGGCAGTTATATCCCTGCTCAGCAGAGATAGCCCCAGCGGCCGCCCCTCCTGCTCGGGGGGATGCTCCTGGGAATCGCGCGGGGCCGGGAAAGGGCGATAGGGCTGTATCAGCCGGCGCAGGCTCGCTCCCCGCTCCACCGGCGAGGATGCCTCTGGCATAAGGAGCAGGAGCCCGGCCCGCTCCGCTGGGCCCCTTCCAGCCGCGGGGAGGAGCGGCGGGAGAGCAGAGCCCGGCGGCTGTGCACGGGYAGGGAGGGAATCTAGGTCAGGGCTTGCTTTAAAAGGGGGCACCGAGCCCAGAACGCGGCGGCTTCCAGCGAAACCACGGAGCAGCGGCGCCTGCCCGAGCCCGGCGCAGACAYCGGCAACGGGCAGCTGAGGAATGCCGGTGTTCACCGGCAGCATCCCCATCCCGGGAGATGCGGCGGCCGAGGACGCCCACGGGTGCTGCTTCCCGTGTGCGTGGCAATTCCTTGCTTTGTTGGGAAGCAGTGATGTGCATTTCTGCCTCTGACAGRGCTGGAAAACAACGTGGTGCCCGGRGACGTGCCCTTTTCCAGAGACACAATGCCTGGGCACAGGGAGACTCCACTCATCTCCCAAACGACACCATCAAATGGTCCCTTCCTTCCCCACMGCCTCCACACGGCTGAAGGGCGTCAGCGAAGGGAACTCGCCCCAGGTCTGACATTTCTGCATTCGCCAGCAAAGGGCCAAAAAAAAAAAAGGCCAAACGGAGCGAAAATCCCAGTGGCACCAAAAGGGGAACTGGGGGGATGTGGAGGGTGCAGAGTTGTGGCTCCCAGGGCGAGTGAACACCTCCACAGACCTTTTGCTCCCCAAATAACTGCCCAGCCTTGGCAGAGCCCCAAAAAATCCAAAAACACAAAGGAGATTTTATTTTTCCCCCTCCCCAAACTTAGGATTGTTCTGCACTTCCCAAGACCCTTCAAGGGCTYGGGATTGGGGAGTGATTAGGTTGGYATCATGATGCATTTAATTAAAAGCCAGCGCCTGAAGGTAGAGGGAAATCAGCTGCTAGAGCAGGGGATTTTTGGAGGGCAATCCTGTGAGGCACAGCCCGATCCCTGGCTGTTCAGGGAGGCTGGACTTGGCAGTGGGTTTTGTGCCTGGCAGAGCTGGCAGAGGCCACGGCAGTCCCTGTGAGCCGCAGCCCTCCCGGCTCCTCCTGCCGCAGCCACCTCTTGGGGCCAGATTTTCAGGAATCCAGGCTCTGGTGAGCTTGGAAAAATCCAGCTTTTTCTCATGGGCTCAGCATTCAGCCACTCCCTGGGTTTCCACTGAGCTCAGCTTCGAAATGAGACATGCACCAAGCCTCCGAACTTCACAGTAACCCCTCAAAAAATCCCCCAATAAAAAAGTTGAGCTGTTAAAGTGCTCCCTGTCCTTCCAAGGCCAAGCAGGCGGGTGGTGGTCATGTGCTGTGTTCTGGGAAGGGCATTTCCAGGAGCTCTCGTGGGTGCAAACCCTCTGCTCGGTGGTGAAGGTGCTGATGGAAAGGGCTCTGACAAATTCCATTTCCCCATCTGTCTTCGCTTCCCTTTTCACGCCTTTTCCTGGGCAACCCGAAGGCACAGGGGAAAARGGCTCTGAAAATGAAATGAGGCCCCAACCCAGGGGGTTTTACAGGGAGGGGTTTGCAAAATGGCTGGAAGCGGAGCATCCCAGGAGTTTCCTGTGCCCTGAGGCAGGTCTCAAACCCAGGTGGAGTTGCAGGCTGTGCTGCCAGTGGGTTTGGGATCCTATTCCACTCCCAGCCCCTCCAAAGGGAACTACGGATTGTCACCAGAGCCAACCTCTGCCAGCAGCAGGGACAGGCCAGACCCCCCTCTCCTGCCACTGATTCCTTTTTGATGTCACTGCAGGTGGCACCGCGGGAGAATCCGGTTTTTGAGGCACATCTGGAGCGGGCAGTGGCCTGGTCCCTGCAGCTGGACACCGGGGCAGGCCGGGGGTCCCTGTGACCGGCCACCGGGGCGGGCTGAGGGTCCCTGGAGCTGGACACCGGGAGCGCTCCGAGCACCACAGGAACCTAACGGGAACCCCAAACTCTGCGAGAGGGATGAGGGGAGAGGCAGCGCGGCTCGGTACCGTGGTGCACGATCAGCGCTAATTAACGAGCCCGGTGGGAGCGCACGGAGCTCGGGGG